GACCCTAATTTCTTGGAGATACGGCTCCAACAACCGCATGTTTTTTCCTGATTCTCGGATCGTTGCGAAAGCAAACTTTTCCTGACAGTTTCTCGCGATGTGCCCTTCCTTTTTGCAGTTGTAGCAGATTAGCGGCTTCCGTTTGTTTTCCGATTCAAATGCCTGTGTGGTAGAAACCTCACTCGATTTCTCCGCTTCTGTTTGCCCTTCCCCTACACTGTCCTTCGTAAGAGACGGGTCCTTTTTGAAATTACGGTGCGGAGCGGGTTTCCGTTGATCAGGTTTCCTTGAAAAGCCCTCTTTCCTTTCATCCCTTTCAACGCGCGCTGCCCTGCTATGCAACTTTCGGCGAGTATAATACTCCTCAGCTAACTCAGCTGCCTTGTTTAACCGTACTTCCCCAAGTCTGTCCTGCAGCCAAAGTTTGACATCCTCCTCGATGCAGCGGTAGAATTGCTCCAATGCAACGCATTCCACCACTTTATCGCGGTCGTCATACACACCTTCGCCCTTGAGCCACTCAATTAAATCGGCTTTAAGACGAAACGCGAAGTCAACGTGTGACTCATTCCCCTTTTCAGCATACCGGAACCTTTGCCTGAAAGCCTCGGGTGACAACTTATAACGTCTCAAGAGCACTTCCTTAACCTCGTCATAGCTCTCAAACGCTTCCCTCGACAAGCAAGTTATCGCGTCGGACACTTCGCCGGGAAGAAGAGCTAGCAGGTTCCGCGCCCAAAGAGACCGCTCCAAAGCGTTTCGCTCACAGACGTGTTCAAACTTGACGAGATACTTCGCCATGTCCTCGCCTACTACGAACGGTGGCAGTTGGTCCCGAATTCTAAAACCGCTGACCTGAACTGTTGGAGAAGCTACGCTAGGCGCCTGCGAACACTGTAGGATTGCCAATTCTAGTCGTTTCAACTCTAGGCGCTCTTGTCTTTCAGCTTCTTCGCGAGCTTCTCGCCTTTCAGCCTCCTCGCGGCGTGCTTTGATTTCCACCCAGGCCTCATCGACTTCCTCAGCCGACACTCCCTCATCCTTCATGATCTCAAGGATCGCTTGTTTTCGTTTCGCACGGCCCAAAGTAATGCCGAGTTCCTCACAAATTTCGATGAGTTCCTTCACTTTAAGGTTCTCCATCGTTCACACTAGCCTCTTGCTGTTTGCCCCTGTTAAGAATCTACTTGCCGTACCCACTATAAGCCTACTAGCAAGACGCGCAAGCAATTTTTCACACTCCCGTGTTTACCCCCTCTGCATTAACTTTGGTTTCAAAGCGCTTCGACTTGGCTTGAAACGATCAAAGCTCACTTCAATGCTTCACACAGCCCTTCTCTAAACTACTACAACCTGAGCTAGAGTAGTCTGGTGAACTGAGGGGAAAACATCAGGCACTCACCGCATCGATGTCGCTGACGCCGGCCGATCCCGCAGCTGCCAACCACTGTTGAAAAAGACGGACCGATCCCGCCGAAGCCACCACTGTTGCGAAAGACGGCGACGCCAACACGGTCCCGATGGCGCCACTGCTTCCAACTCCGCCGGGAAGGTCACCAGCCGTTTGGTAGCGTATGTTTATCAGCTCGCGACTGCTTCTGCGCAGAGCTGATAAGACGAGCGGACGAGACGACGGTGAGTTAAACAAGGTTTATGTACAGCATATATACAGAGGCGTTACAATTTCGGCACTGGGGCCGACAGAGACTCGAAAAGCCGAGCTCTCCTCTCTAACACATAGGTCAGCCTTTCGCCTAAGACCGCTGACTCGCATACATGTCGGCCCTCCGACATGGGGTCTCCTCGCTCATAGGAACGCCGATCGCGACGCGCCGCAGGGCTTCTTTTATTTACACCGGGTCCAACCAAAATGTCCAATCAGAAGCGCCGCTGGTCGTCAGGGCAGATTCCGCCAATGGGGGCCGCCGCGCCATGCGTCAGACCACCAGACATGCGGCCGCCGGCTCGCTGTCACGTGCGCAGCTGACTCACTGCACATGGGCCAGAGGGGCGCCGCGCGTGTTCACGCCGTCGAGGTGATCGCGCCAGGCGGACTGGCCTTGACCCAGATTGCCTTTTTCAGAGGCACGGACGTTTGACGAGGACTCGCTGGCATAACACTGCCTAGCCCCCAGCACGCTCGTCGGGACGAGAGAAGAGAGAAAGCGCCCAAAGGGAAATGAAACAATGACTTGGTTTGAATGATAAACTGCGCTATGAGAACTTTCGTGTCACCAGTTTCATTATCATGAATTAATTATAGCGGATAAAACGAAACCCTGTCATTCTTTTTTTTTTAATTCCGCGCCGAAACATCCCTGCATCAGGTCACCAATTTCAAAAGTATTTTAAGGGCGAAGCTCCTTAAGGCGAGGACTGTGCGTCCCCTGTATGTAGCCACCTCTCGTTTAGTTCTTGCAGTGTTCACTAGGTGGCGGTACCGTCCCCTGTAAATAACCACCTCTCGTTTAGTTCTCGCAGTGTTCACTAGATGGAGGTACTTGTAGCTGATGATGAAAAGATGCAAGATGTTATAAACTAGACGGCGGTACTTGCAGTTGATGATGAAAAGATGCGAGATGTTATAAAATAAGAATGATGTCACATATGGCGCGTGTCATTGGTGGAAGGCAATCGTTCAATTTAGTGCGGCGACGTACGCTAGGAGGAGCGTTGTAATAAAATCAAGTGGGCAGAATGTACAAAGGATTCACGGTTGACCAGGTTTACCTCCGGAGCTTCGCCCACTTATCATCATTCACTTCATGAATATGGCGTCACTTTTTTTCGTATTTTTGCGACATGGGCATAATGAAAATTTTGCTAATCTCGATATGTTAAGTCTATGGCATCCACAGATGACAACCTACTTCATTTTTATCGATTAGAAGCTACGCATGACACAGCAGACGCCGTCCAAATTTATGGCGTCACGGTGTTTGGTGCGGGAATCTCAAAATGGCATATCCACTCACATTTTCCTTTCGTGCGTTATCTTGCCAAGCGCCGCCTCGCGGCAAGAGTGTTTTTTTTTTTGGGGGGGGGGGGGGGGGGGGGACTGTGAAACTGCACTTTAACAAAAATCGAAAAATATCCTTTCTCTGTAGTGTCCAAGCGTGGAAGAAATACCTGCAACTGCTATCATTCTTGGTGGACCCAAGGAATTTTTTTGCGGCGATCGGTTCGTGAGTCAGTGAATTCCGATATTGAGGTCGTTCGATAACTACGTGGAAAAAATAAGTGGTTCAGGGCCCACTTCAGAGCAAAACCAAGGCGGTAAAAGAGCTTTTTTGTCACTTCGTCAAGTAGCATTGATTATAGGGGACCACCGTTTTTTTTTTTTTTTTAGCGATATACGATTCCTTTCTAATCAGTTGTGATCGATGGCTTCACGGTGAAATCGTTTCACGGCATCCCATTGCAGCCCATCTATCTATTTTACTTTCGGAAACCAGCCAGAGAAACAAGAAGAAGGCACAAGTGCTATACATATATGAAGGGTGCTGGCTACCAAATATGTTGCTGATGGCCAACACGAATGTTATAAATGAACATCAGTCAACACGTGCGTGGCCTTCGACGGGGGGGGGGGGGGGGGCGTGAAAAAGGGGCACTTGCACGATCTCCCTCAAGCCTCACCACCACTTGCCACCCACCCAAAAGCTACTCGAGCGTTTGCCTCCCTAAGCCATAATGCAACACAGTTTTGTACCCCCCCCCCCCCCACAAGATAAAATCCTGCCAACCCCCATAAACGCGTGCCACACTATTTTCAATAAAACTACGAATAGACAGCTTTTTTTTTCTTTCTTTCGCTCCCAGTAACTACGTGCGAGCACTAAGCAAAAAGATGCACAAGGAAAAACAGAGCGCCTGTATTAGCAGCATGCAAATCTGTCTGTCAAGTTCCTTAGTTACGTGGAGCAGTATATATATATATATATATATATATATATATATATATATATATATATATATATATATATGTGTGTGTGTGTGTGTGTGTGTGTGTGTGTGTGTGTGTGTGTGTGTGTGTGTGTGTGTGTGTGTGTGTGTGTGAGAGAGAGAGAGAGGGAATCGGAAAGCGTCAAACGGAGTTCTATTGTTACATGCACAGCAATGAGGAAGTATTCGAACTTTTGTTACTTTTATTTTCTTCTGTGGGAAAATTTTACGTGTCACACTAATCTACAGTATACTTTTTGAATATAATATTCGATACAGCTGTCGATCACGGCTTTTGCTACATTTATCCGTTTTATCGCTGGCGTCATGAGCCGCTCAATTATATTACCCACGTTAGACCAGTGAAAAGATCTGTTCGGGATAAACATCCCACTCGTATATGTGAGCCAGTGGGAATATAAAGGAAATAAAATAATAATAATAATAATAATAATAATAATAATAATAATAATAATAATAATTTGTAGTAGTAGTAGTAGTAGTAGTAGTAGTAGTAGTAGTAGTAGTAGTATAAAGCAATACTGCATCATTTTGTTTGAATAACATTCAAAACAGTGATGGTAACCAAAGTTCGTTTGGTGTTTGGTGATAATACATCTCGCGAAAAAAAAAGAACATCATTTCAAATGCTACACTAGTATTAATGCACTAAATGTATCGTATATCACAACATGCACGCGTTGCCAAAGTCGTTTTTAAGGTAAACGTGGTTGACGTTTAGCCGTCAACAATGTTAAAGGCACCTCCGTCACAACTATCCGATATATCAACGCCAATTCGAAGCCCTTTCTTCTCGGAGTTGACGCATCGTGCACAAAACGACCACGTCATGACGGCTACGAACTGGACTTGGTAGAAATGTACAGGGGACGAACACGGCCCAAAAATGATCCGCTAGACTGCCGCCGACCCGTTCAAAACAAGCAACCCACACTCCCCGCCAAGAAAAGCGCAATACGGAAACGAGTTTAACGCAGCGCCGTTTGAGAGACGTAGAAACTAGAAGTACGACGGCTGTCGCATGTGTTCCGTACCTTCATTTGGAAGTCGACAGCACGTTTCGGTCACGTAGCAGGAGCGAGATACGACGTTCGCCGGCATTTTCAACAGGAACCACCGTGCCGCACACAACGGCTCTTCGAAGTAGATTGAGTGCTTCATCGACTCGCCGATGCACGGCGCCACATTCCAACCAGGCGGGGGAAAAAAAAAAACGAAACTGACTGTTTAGGCTCGGTATGGTAGCGCCATCTGTGCGCTATCACACGAACTTTTTTGTTGCTTTTTTGTTTCTTAGTGAGTCGGCGTGCACTTTGGTTGGACATTGTTTTTTGCGTCGTTTCTGTAGCTGTTCTGTGGTTTCAACAACGTGTTTTGACATCGTTTGACATCGGAACGCTCAGACAAAAAGCAGAAGCGGCCACGTACCAAATTTGATGCCTACGAACTCTATTTCATTTTTCACTGCGTCCGGAAAACTGAAAAAAAAAAAAGGCTAAACTTTTCCTTCTATGATTCAGTTCCAGAAAGAGTTCAAATACAATGAAGGTAGAAATAAATAGCACTTATGAATACGAACACACACACACACAAAATAAAAACACAAACTTATAGCTGTCAGCATCTAGTCCTGCCCTGATGCCCTCAGGGAACCGCGCACATCGAGCTTTTCGTCGCTCCTTCGTCCCAGGCTGTTTTTAGAGGGGCTTTCTCGCCGTTCAGGCTGTTCGCTTCGGCTGTTGCTTCGCTTTTGCGTTGCTCTTTCTTCGTTTGTCCGCTTGTTTCCCTTCTCTCCTCTCACACGAATGCTCTTTTCTCTGTCGATGCCAGGAGACCTGGTGCATGGCAAGCGCGGCTTCATTTCCATTCTTCCCGGCGTCCCTAACGCAACACGCGGGAGCACAGAGGCAAGCCGATTTGCAAGGCCCCCGACTGTCATGGCAAGTTCTCGAGTACGTTGAGTAAATGGGAACGTCAAGAGTGGCGTACGTCGCATGTGGTTCTTCAATACCGAGACCTCATCCTCCTGAGACGCCAGCATATGTGGCATTCGTCGTTTCGAGCAGTTTCGAGCAGCAAAGAAGAAGAAGAAGAAGAAGACGAAAAAGAAGAAGAAGAATGCACCAAGAACGTTCTGTCAGTGTTATTGCAGTAATTGCGTGTGGGCTTTGAAATATGTGTACCGTTTCATAAACCCTCTCGTGAGCCCCCCTATGTCGCGACGGCGCATGCTACTAGGACTACAAAATGTCTAAAACTGTTCTGCAAAACTGTCTATTGTCGGGGAAGAACCAGTCCGCAAAAGTTCGGCAGATCCCGCATACTGTGGCAATCAATGATATGCGAAGAATGTGTCAAGAAGCTTGCTATGCGGCACTTTTAAAATGGCCCCGCCGCGGTTGTCTAGTGGCTGAGGTACTCGGCTGCTGACCCGCAGGTCGCGGGAGCAAATCCCGGCTGCGGCGGCTGCATTTTCGATGGAGGCGAAAATGCTGTAGGCCCGTCTGGTCAGATTTGGGTGCACGTTAAGGAACCCAGGTGGGCTAAATTTCCGGAGCCGTCCACTACGGCTTCTCTCATAATCATATGGGGGTTTTGGGACGTTGAACCCCACACATAAATCAATCATCAACTTTTAAAATGAGCGTTGCTAGGCGGATTGATGTATAGTACTCGGTAAATACTGTGTAGAGATTTTATATGGATTGACGTATATATCTAGAGAACATGCTAGTGCGAGAACTGATTGTTCATGGATGAGTAAAGGGAGCCTACTAACACGCGCACTGCCAGCACCAGCAGTAGAGGGCTGAAATGTTGGTTACTCGAAGCGTAATACAGCGAAGTATGCTTTCTTCGTCTTCTTCTTTTTTTTTTTTTTTCCGGGGGCAGGGGAGGCTTTGAGGCAGGTGTTACGAGGTGGATCGACGATAGCTGCAGAATTTGTGGGTACATGTTAACCAGGAAGGTTCACTAGACTGGTATTCACTGGTAAACACACCGGGTAACACATGGTCTAGGCCACCGTGGTCTGAAGGTCAGCACTCACGTTAGAGCACAGACGTCCGTATTATTGAAATGAGGTGCGCTTTGCGGTGTGATGATATAAGTGCACTACACTTTTATTTTTTCTTTAGCGTATGCTCCCGGGGTCGAGCAACGCTTGAATGTGGCTTGTCGAATCATGGGAATACAAATGTGACATTAACCAGACCACTACAAAAAAGGAGCCAACGTTGGAACCACGATTGACTTTAACTCGGCATGACGTCTGCGTCATAGGTTTGCATATGTAATGTTTATTGTTTTTTTTATTTAAAGTTAGATAGCTGGCTGGCACTGTAACCACAAGTTGCACCAATCTTATGCCTGCACAATGCTTTTTTTTAAGAAGTTTCATGACTTGTCATGGCTCTGGTGGTCATGCTCTTGGTTCGATTTCTGCCGAAATCTTGTTTTCTTTTTAAACTTTTACATTCATCGGGCCTATGCTGCTGATGTCGGTTTCTCTTGACATTCTCACATTTAACTTACTAATATCAGTGTTCGCCGTTCCAGGGTCGATATCGAAACTTTGAGTCACCATTGGCGCACATCCGCGGCCCGTATAGTGTTCGGCATTCCACAGAGTGTCCCGAATGTCATTAGGCATTTTTGCAACACTCCTACAACCCCCAAACCCAAGAAGATCCTATTCCCTTCTCCAGGCGAAAAAAGTTATTCTATACCAACCCCTCAATCCTTAATTCCCTTCCCCCACACCTGATTCTGGTAACACCCCTCCCCAAAGCCCCAATATCGACGATGAATTTATTTATTTATTTATTTTATTATTTTCTTTCGTTTTACAAAAAAAAGATGAATAAGAGTTAAAGGTCATGTGGCCTGATGGAAGCTTTTACTCTTTTGAGCATTCGACATGCATACAAATGGTTTTGATACATGTAAAATAATAAAGCATCAGCATGTACATAACTAAGCGCAAACAGAGCAAATACAGTTTCACATCATGCAAAATACCTCTAGGCAACAAAAAACGTTTACGAACTTTTCATGAAACGATAGAATAAAGCACTATACGTATTTCGTGCTGACCGGTTGTGCCCCCGCAATCTCGGACGACAACGCAGTTCTGGCCGACTGGCTCGCCCTACGCCATCTCCTGACGCCGACAAGAGCTCTCGCTGGGTGGTACCCCGTCCTCGGACTTCTCGCTGCGACCGTGTCCATCTTTCCTACCTGCTCCTTACTTCCGTATGTGGCTGTCCCTGCGCCTCTCTCTGCTCCTGCTCCTCTCTCCATCTTTATACCTTTAATTCCTCCCTATTTTTTTCAATCCCCCCTTACTCCCATCCCCTGCGCAGAACTGTGGAGGTGCCCTTTATCGAGAGAGAGGTAGTAACGAAACTGCGCTTATTTCTTCCTTTTCCTCTTTCAAAAGTCACTGATCATGTAAAATAAAAATATCGTGCAGACACTTCATAAAACTAAACATTACGTGTTGTTATTCCCCCAATTGTACATGGCAACGGCTCACAACATTGCCATGTAAACACCTGCCCTGAAGTTAGCGGTAAGTTCAAAACCAACAACAACAAGCTCAATTCATCGATCTGGTAAATGTTATTATGAAGGCTCCCCCGAGGAGCCAAAGCGTTGAGGCCACTGCTACGCACGAAAGTGGCAAAACGTGTAGTTGGTGGCACGCAGAGCGCCCGCGCCAACGCAGCAGCTGCAGGCGCTCCTCATTTCTCTCCTCACTCAAGACTGCGCGCCGAGTTGCGCCCGCAGTGTTTCCTGGGCGCGCGTGCGCAAGTGAAGCGCCATTTCCTCTCGCTCGCCGACCCAGTGCGACAGCCCCGACGACGCGCGCGGCTCAAGGGCCCCGCATTCATTCGCCCGCGGCAAAATCCAATGAAAAGGACCCCCCTCCTCGACGGCAAGGGCTTTGGGCATGCCGCGCCCTCTCTCGCTCCCCCGCTCGGACCAACGTTACCGGAACTTTGGCTCTCACGGCACCGCGACGCCGAGAAAAGCCGGCACCAACGGCACTTCGCTAAAAACGGCTCCCAAGAGCGTACCACGATAGACGGGACCATTGTGCAGCGCCGAAGCACCAATAGTGTGAATTAGGGTGCGAGGAAGAGGGAGAGAGAGAATTCGATACACCTCCTCTGCACTAGAACATCGCACACTTTACCGAATGCTGGGTAATACCCCTGTCACACGGGCACCCGCGAAGACCGTTTAACTCCCTCGTCCTTACGACAACGAAGATGCGGTCCGTGTCACACGGCCACCCTTACCTAAATGAAGGCAAACGGAGCGTTTCGCAAAGGACGTTCAACGATCTCCCTTCGCAGCGAAACGAGGTACTCTCGTCCCCAGCAGACTAGAGGTCAGAGAAAAATTTCAAGCACTAAGTGGCCGCAGTGAAAGAATAATACATTTTGACAATCTTAAACGTTTTTTCGTTGCAGTACTCATTCACAATTCGTATTTGATTACATATATTTACGCCCGCCAGAGTTCACTTACTCTCAACACCGATGCTCTACACTCCGTGCTTCGCGAGCCGGGCCGGCCGGCGCCATTGAAAAATGTTTCGTCCATGCGTGTGGTTGTGGTCGTCGCTGTGTCACTCATGGCTGAAGAACACAAAATGTGCGCTCACGAGGCAAGGAAGCACAAGAACTTTCGTACACAAACATGAACACAAGCAACAAAACAACTAAAAGCACAATGTGGCCAGCGTCACTAGCAGCATCGCTACATTTAGCGAATTTGTTTTTCTTTGAAAATATTTGTATGGTTTGTTAGCCTCTTACCTCCTTAATAGTGGTTTTTTGTGAAAACCCTAGAACGAGGATTCACAAAAAATCAATAGAGGTGAAATTGGAATACTTTTCCGAAAATCAAACAGCGCCAGCTGAGCCCCCTCGCGCCAACTGTTACAACCTTTTCATTGCCGTGTGACACGGCCACAACTCCTTCTCCGTCGAACCACCTAGGGGAGATTTACGTTGACGGTGTTCAACGGAGTATAGTGGTGGCAGTGTGACAGGGGTATAAGACGGCAGTACAAAGTCACACGGTGTTGTCTATTCATGTCATGTCATGTAATTC